TTTAAAGGCCCCATATATCAGTTTGTCATTCCTTTGTTTGATGAATTTAGTCCATTTACATTTATTGTCATGATTTATATTTGGACTTGTATTTTCTGTTTTCTCTTTGTTTTGTTCTTCCACCCCATTATTTTGTCCCGTTTTGCCTTATTTTGGATTGATTAAGGTTTTTTCATTTGTTATTAAAGATTTCTTAGTCCTTTTTCCCATGTACTAGTTTGGAAGTTACACATCTTATTTCTGTTTTTGGTGATTTCCCTTGAATTTGATCATGCATACACTTTAACCGACTGAGCCACCCAGGTGCCCATATCATACATACTTGAAATAAAGGCTAGGTTTATGACTATCTCAATATTCCCAAAATATTACAAAGATCTTAAACTAAACCCAGTCACTCCCATCTCACTTCACCAACTATTATTCTTCAATGTTTTATTTCTTTTTGTGACCTCCCACAAATCAGTAAAAAGTATCTTTTTATGAAGAAATGTTATTTATATATTACCAGTATTTTTCCTTTGTTACTATTTCTTCATATATTTCAGATCTTCATTGTGATCTCATTTTCCTTTTCTGTAACTAAAGATGCCATGGTGGTGAACTTGGCTTATGTTTGTCTGGAAATAATTGTTATTTCTCATTTTTGAAAGACAGTTTTGCTTGGTAAACAATTTTAGGTTGGTTGGTATTTTCTTTCACCATCTTGTGAATATTGTTGTATTGTTTTCTGCTTTCCCTGGGCTGTTGAGAAATCTTCTGTTAGTCTAATTATTTAGTGAATTTGGTTTTTCTTTCTGGCTGCTTTTAGGATATGCTGTTTGTTTTTTGGTGTTCTTGCTGTTTCAGTACAATGTGTCTAAATGTGCAGGGGTTTTTTTGTTTTTTCATCTTTCATAGTATAAGTTGTATTTCCTGTGTCTGTGTCTTTTACCAGTTCTGGAAAATGTTCAGCCATTATCTTTTTTTTCTTATATGCTAAATATACATACCTCCACCATTATCTTTTAAAATATTGCTTCTCCTCTGTTTTCTCTATTTCCTCCTCTGGAACCTCAGTAAGCTTATGTTGGACTTTTCATTCATCTTTCATATCTTTTGTCCTCTCTTTCATATTTTCCATCTCCTTTCCTTCTGTTCTTCAGGTCTAGGTAAATTCTTCAGGTCTGTTTTTCACTCATTTTCTCTTCTTGCATTTAATCTGTTTAATCTATATGAGTTTCCCACCTCCCCAGCAAGCTTACTTTTTATTTCTAAGAGTCCTGTGTGTTTCTTTTACAAATCTCTGCCTTGTTGGTTATTATAGTATTTTGTTCTTTCTCACCTTTTGTCTCATATCTATATCTAAAAATACACATATTTGAAGTCCTTGGTCGGGTGTCTTTATTATTTATTGGTTTCTCCCAATTTGGTTAGGTGTCTGACTCTTAATTTTGTTCTCGGGGCCATGGGATTGAGCCCTATGTTAGGCTCCGTGCTTAGCAGAGTCTGCTTCTCTCCCTCTCCCTCTCCCTCTGCCTCTGCCCCTCTCCACACATATGCCCTCTCTCTTTTAAGGAAATAAATAAATCTTAAAAGAAAGAAAGAAAGAAAACCAAACCCCACATAAGTACCAAAAGCAATGTGGAGTAAAGCAGATCATTATTAAAGGTTTCTGGGGAAGAGAGAGGAGGGAGATTAGCCTGTGTCTTATACAGCAACATCTCCTTAAAGATCCTTTAGTACCTCTCCATTCCCCAAACTGTTTCTGTAGCTTACCAAAATTTCCATGGTGTGTGACTGTCTGTCACCCATTCTTTCCCTGCCCTCAAACTCTTATTCTCCTCTATCACTTCCTTCTCTAGCCACCTCCAGAATCTCTTTCCCATACTCAGATTTTTCCAAAGTTCAACTGAAATCTTTACTGATAGTCTATTTTTTATCCTTTGTAGTTTTAAACCATCTTTATACTATTTGAACTTAATTTATCCTTTGCTTCTTTATCTTAAAGCTAAATAACACTGAATTCCTTATACCTTTCTTTTGATTTTGTTTTTCTTTTGATTGCTTTGGTTTATTTAACTTTTTCCATTTTCTTTTGTAGTATCCCAAATTGAGCATCAAATTTTAAGTGTAGTAGAGATATTACTACCTTGTCTTTAGACGTATTACACCCTCTAAGCTCACTATCCAGCAACACTATTCATGTTTTACATAGGAGACATTTACATTTCATTATCTCTTTAAAAAGTGTCCTTGATAATAGTTGAAGATGTCAAAATCTTGGGCTTTTTGTTTTTGTTTTTCTTTGCTTTTTTTTTTTTCTGGTCTATTTGTTTATACTGGGTAGTAAATGAGGTACAGGTGAATTATATGGGCAACTGGATCCCAAATTAATGATAGGGCATAATTTGTCTCAGTATACACCCCAAACTTGGAGATAGTTTTGTGGGTTTTTTTTTAAACATTTTTTTGCCTGGGGAGCTTTGGGAGTATGCTGTCTTTTAGCACATATGTTTGATCTTTCCCTTCATATGAAATTACTACTCTCACTTTGGTGGAGGTGAGGAATGCAGAGAAGCTGCTTACAACTATGCACGTAAAATAAGTATCTATTGTGCAGAGACACGGAGATCAAGCAGAATAAAACATAAAATGGACTTTCAGAGAATACAGAATTAGACACAAGTCCACCAGGGAAGGGATAGGCTTCTGAATGTGAAAACTTTTTTTTAATCGAGGTATAAATGACATACTAGTTTCAGATTTGCAACATAATGATTTGATATTTGTATATAATGTAGAAGGATCACCACAATAGTTAATACCCATCACCATACACAGAACATTTTTTTCTTGTGATGAGATTTATTTTTTCAGCAACTTTCAAATATGCAATACAGTATTATTAACTAGTCACCATGCTATATTACATACCTATTACTCATTTTATAACCAGAAGTTTATACCTTTTGACCCCCTTTACCTATTTGGCCCCCCCCCCCACATCCCCAGCCTCTCTTTCATATTTTCCATCTCCTTTCCTTCTGTTCTTCAGGTCTAGGTAAATTCTTCTTTGGAAGAATTTTTTTTTTGCAACCACCAAATCTGGTCTGTGAGCTTGGTTTTTGTTTGTCTTTTTGTTTTTTAAATTCTACATATAAGCAAAATCATATAGTATTTGTCTTTCTCTGTCTTATTTCACATGGCATAATGTCTATAAGGTCCATCCATGTTGTTAAAAATGGCAAGATTTCATTTTTTTAATGACTGATTAACATTCCATTGTGTGTGTGTGTATGTGTATATATATATATATATATATTTTTTTTTTTTTCTTTACCCATTTATCCATTGTTGCACTTAGGTTGTTTCCATGTCTTGGTTATTGTAAATAATACCATAGTGAACGTGGGGGTGCATATATCTTTTCGAGGTAGTGGGTTTTGGTTTGTTTGTTTGTTTTGTTTTTTCAGATAAAATACCCAGACGCGGCATTGCTGGATCATTTGGTGGTTCTATTTTTAATTTTGGGGGGAACCTCCATACTGTTTTCCATAGTAGCTGTACCAATTTACATGGAATGTGAAAACTTTTAACTTTCAAGGGGACATAGATGCAACAAAGGACCTGAATACCTATGCGTATTATAAAGTTATTTGTGTGTGTATACACACACACACACACACATATATATAAATTATATATATTGTATTACAGATCTTTCTCAACTTTAGATGGGGTTACATCCTGATAAACCCATTGTAAATTGAAAATATCATTAAGTTGAACACCTGAAACTAATACAACACCTGTATGTTAACTATACTGGAATTAAAATAAAAAATTTTTTAAATCAAAAAAATAAAAAAGGTATTTTCTTTCTATACCAAAAAAAAAAAAAACAAACCAAATATTGTAAGTCGAGATGCATTTAATATATCTAACATAAGAACACCATAGCTTATCCTGGCCTCTGTTAAACGTGCTCAGACACTTACATTGGCCTGCAGGTGGGCAAAATGATCTAACACAAAGCCTATTTTATAGTTAGGTATTGAATATCTCATGTAATTTATTGAAAGCTGAAACTGAGAACAGAATGTTTTTATGGGTACAGCAGGTTGTAAGTATATCAGTTGTTTATCCTGTGAGCACATGGCTGACTGGGAGCTGTGGCTTGTTGCTGCTGCCCAGCATCACAAGAAAGTATTGTATTACGTCTCACTACCCTGGGAAAATATCAAATTCAAAATCTGAAGTACAGTTTCTACTGAATGTGTATCTCTTTTGCGTCATTATAAAGTCAAAAAATTTTAAGTCAAACCAGTATAAGTAGGGGACCATCTGTGCACACAAATATACATGTATATATGCATATATATACACATACACACAAGTGTGATTTTTTAAAAAGTAATTCTTTAAATTTTTACATCTCCATTTTATATGTATTATAAACTGATTTGGTCAACTGCACGCTTAGGCCGAATTATTATTATTTTTAATATGAAAGAGTGATTTTTATTTATTTAAGATTTTATTTATTTATTTGGCAGAGAGACACAGCGAGAGTGGGAACACAAGCAGGGGGAGTGGGAGAGGGAGAAGCAGGCTTCCCGCCGAGCAGGGAGCCCGACGCGGGGCTCGATCCCAGGACCCTGGGATCATGACCTGAGCCGAAGGCAGACGCTTAACGACTGAGCCACCCAGGCGCCCCGTGTTTTTTTTTTTTTTTTTTTTAAGATTTTATTTATTTATTTGACAGAGAGAGAGATAGTGACAGCGGGAACACAAGCAGGGGGAGTGGGAGAGGGAGAAGCAGGCCTCCCGCTGAGCAGGGAGCCCGACGCGGGGCTCGATCCCAGGACCCTGGGATCATGACCTGAGCCGAAGGCAGACACTTAACGACTGAGCCACTCAGGTGCCCCTAGGCCGAATTATTATAAGATATTACAGTAAATACGCATGCTAGATTTCTCCTTATTCAGCTTATCATTTATGTGCTTTTGTTTCAGCAGCCGAAGATCACAAGGAAAAACATTTTCAAATGAGAGAATTTGGAGCACCTCAGTTTTCTAATTCTGAAAATGGTAAGAAATTATAATTTCATTATATATGGATAATTTATTATTTAAAATTCTTTAGTTTTAATTTAATAATTATTTCCTTAACATTAAAACCTGTATAGGTCTCTACACAGGGATACAACCCTTTATTTCTATTTTGTAGCACATCACAATGGAAATGAAGTCATTATTTGTTTTATATGTTTGGGCCCTTGTCCAAACGTATCTGTGTAACTGTGAGGACTGGTAGGACAGTGTCTGTCTCACTGTCTGGTGTACCTCCACCATCCAGCAGTTGTTGACACTCAGTAAATACGATTTTGAATATCTTTCCCAATCACTTATGTTGCAAATATTTTCCCCCACTTTGTCACTTGTCTTTTGACTTTTCATGTAGTTGTTTCTTGCATGTAAATTTTAAAACTAATTTTATGTAGTCAAATTTATTAATCTTTTCTTTTATTGGATCTTGATTTTTGTCATATGCAAAACCCAGGTTAGAAGAGTTCATTTATGCTGTTTTCTAGTATTTGTATACTTTTATTTTTTACATTTAGATCTCCAATTCACTTGGAGTTTATTTAGCCATATGGTACTAGCAGTGGCTTAAATGTTATCGTTTTGCAAGTGGCCATCCTTTTATTATCATTTTTTTAAATGCTATCTTTGCCATAGGAATTTGAGATAACTTCCAGTCATATACAAGGTTTCTATATGTACTTGGGTCTGTTTGTGGACTTTCTTTATATTTCATTGATGCGTGCATGCACCAGTGCCATGTGGTTTTAATTACAGAAACTTTTTTTGTGTTTTTATATCTGGTAGGGCTAGTATCCTTTTCCTTATTTTCTTAGCTATTCTTGCATGTTTATTTTTCAATATAAACTTTACATCATATTGTCTAGCTCCATAAAAAGGCTCATTGTTACTTTTATGGTGATCACATTAAATGTGAAAAACTGACAGCTTGACGGTGCTTAGACATCCTGACCAGAAACAAGGGACATTTTTCTATTTGTTAAAATTTCCTTGTATATCTTTTATATGGTTTTTTTTTCATAAAGGATTTGAGCAGTTCTTATTATTTCTAAGTATTTTATTTTTTTGTTGCCATTATAAATGAGGGTTTTTTTCATATGTATATTTATATTTCTTTTCATATACATATATATGTATATATATGTCTTACATATATATGTGTAATATATATCTATTTTAAGTAATCTTTATGCCCAACATGGGGCTCGAACTCACGATCATGAGATCAAGAGTTGCATGTTGTGTACCAACTGAGACAGCCAGGTGCCCCTTTTCCATTGTATTTTTAACTGGTTATTATTTTGTGTATATAATTGCTATTGATTTTTTGCATGTTAATATTATATGCTGCTACCTTGCTGAATTTTTTTTAGTTTGAGTTAGTTTTATCATTGATTGTCTAGGGTTTTCCAGGTATACCAACATGTCATTTGCAAATAGAGATAATCCTGTTCTTTCTTTACCAATTCTTGTTACTGTAATTGATTTCTTTGGTTTAATTGCATTAGTTACTACCACCAGAACAATGTTAAATAGCGGTGGGCAGTTCCTGATTTTAGTGCGAGTTCCTGTAATGTTTCTGAATTAATTAGGATGTTGGCTTTTGATATGCGATATATGTTTTGTCATGTTAAAGAAGTATCCATACATTTCTAATTTCTGAAGAGTTTTTATTAGGAATGGTTGTTGAATTTTGCCAACAGCTTTTTCAGTATCTATGCCAGCAATTATTTGATTTTTCTTAAATGTATTAATATGAACTGTATTAATAGGCTTCCTGACATTACACCATCTTTGCATTCCAGCTATAAGTCCCGCTTTGTCACTGCGCATTAATTTGTTGATATTTTATTTACTATTTTTGCATTGCTGTTGATTTCCCTGTGAAAACATTTAGGCCTGGTACTTTTTTTTTTAAAGATTTTATTTATTTATTTGAGAGAGAGAATGAGATAGAGAGCATGAGAGGGGGGAGGGACAGAGAGAGAGGCAGACTCCCTGCTGAGCAGGGAGCCCGACGTGGGACTCGATCCCGGGACTCCAGGATCATGACCTGAGCCGAAGGCAGTCGCTTAACCAACTGAGCCACCCAGGCGCCCTAGGCCTGGTACTTTTTTGTGTTTTCTTCTCTATGGAAATTGTATCAAAAAAATAGAGAGATTTTAAAAATTTTGTGTTTCAAGGGGCAAAATTAAGAAAATAAGATGACTGGGATAAATATTTACGGAAATTGGTCTGTTTAACCTTTCTATATGTACTGGGATCAATGTTAGTAAATTTTATTTTTCTCAAATTACTCATTTTGTCTAGATTGTCAGATTTATTTGCGTAGACTTGTATAAAAATCTCTTGATTTTTTAAGAGCTTTATTGAGATATAAGTTTAAAAAATTACCATTCTAGGGTCACCTGGGTGGCTCAGTTGGTTAAGCGACTGCCTTTGGCTCAGGTCATGATCCCGGAGTCCCGGATCGAGTCCCGCATCAGGCTCCCTGCTCAGCGAGGAGCCTGCTTCTCCCTCTGACCCTCCCCCCTCTCATGTACTCTCTCTCTCTCATTCTCGCTCTCTCAAATAAATAAATCTTTAAAAAAAAATCACCTATTCTAAATGTAAAATTCAGTGATTTTATTAAATTTATAGAGTTGTGCATCAATCACCACACTGAATATTAGAATATTTCCCCAAATTCTCTCATACTTGTTTACAATCCTCACTCCCAACTCTCAGGCCTAGGAGGTTATTAATCTGATTTCTGTCTCTATAAATTTCCCTTTTCTAGACTAAAATTGTACAAAAGGTAGTCTTGTGTTTGGCTTTAGATGTCTTCTGTTAAGCCTAAGGTTTTTCTAGATTCATCCATGTGTTGCATATAGCAGTAGTTCATTACTTTTTTTCCCTTAAATTTTTAATTGTAAAATACACATAAAATTTACCATCTTGTTTTAAGTGTACAATTCAGTGGTATTAAATGCATAATATTCAACCATCACCACCATGCAGCTCTATAACTCTTTTCTTTATAAAACTGAAAGTCTGTATCCATTAAACAGTAATTCCCCATCACCCCATCTCTGCCCAGCCCCTGACACCCAACATTCTCCTTTCTGTCTCTGTGATTTTGATTATTCCAAGTACGTCATGTACATGGAATCATATATTTGTCTTTTTGTGACTGGCTTATTTCACTTAGCATAATGTCTTCAAGGTTCATCCATATTGTGGCATGTTGCAGAATTTCCTTCCTTTACAAGGCTGAATAATATTCCATTACATGTATATGCTGCATTTTGCTAACTCTGATTCCTTACTTTTTATTCATGGTTGTATTATACCACATTATATTTATCCATTTACCAGTTGATGGGCATTTGGCTTATTTACAGTTTTTGGCTATTATAATGTTGCTTCTGTGAACATTCAAAGACTTATCCGAGTATGGACATAAGATTTCATTTTTTTGGTTAGATTCCTAGGAGTGGAATTTTAGGTTATGTGGTCAATTTGAGTTTATCTTTTTAAGGAACTGCCAAATTGTTTTTTCAAAATGGCTCTACTACCATTTCATTCCCACTAGCAAAGAATGAGGTGTATAGTTTTTCCATGTCTTTGTCAACATTTGGTATTGTCTTTTTAACATGTACATTCTAGTGCTTTTAATTTGTGGCTTTAATTGCATTTCTCCAGTGATTTATGATGTTGAGTATCTTTTCCTATGTCTATTGGCCATCCATATATCTTCTTTGTTGACAAATCTATGAAGACCCATTTGCCTATTTTTTTTTTCTTTTAAAGATTTGTTATTTATTTATTTGACAGAGAGAGACACAGAGAGAGGGAACACACCAGGGGAGTGGGAGAGGGAGAAGCAGGCTTCCCTTGGAGCAGGGAGCCCGATGCGGGGCTTGATCCCAGGACCTTAGGACCATGACCCAAGCCGAAGGCAGATTTGGGTTATTTACCTTATTATTAAGTTGCAAGATTTCTTTATTCTTGGTGCAAGTTCTTTGTCAGATATATGACTCATAAATATTTATCCCAGTCATCTTATTTTCTTAATTTTGCCTCTTGAAACACAAAATTTTAAAAATTTTATGAAGTTCAACTTATTTTTTTTCTTGTATGTTCTTTTGGTATCATATCTAGAAACTCTCCCTACCCAAAGTCACGAAGATTTTCTCTTATGTATTCCTCTTGTAGTTTTATAATTTTAGTTCTTATATGTAGGACTGTGATCATTTTGAGTTAATTGGTGTTTATGGTGTGAGGTAGGTAAGTCTTTTAATTTTTTTTAAAGATTTTATTTATTTATTTGATAGACAGTGAGAGAGGGAACACAAGCAGGGGGACTGGGAGAGGGAGAAGTTCAGCAGGGAGCCCGACGCGGGGCTCAATCCCAGGACCCTGGGATCATGACCTGAGCCAAAGGCAGACGCTTAATGACTGAGCCACCCAGGCACCCCTTAATTTTTGTTTATGTTTATTGCATATGCACATCCAGTTGGTGCAGTACCATTTATTGAAAGGACAGTCCTTTCTCCATTGAATTTTCTTGGCATTTTTGTTAAAATCCAGTGACCAAAAAAAAATGTAAGGTTGTGTTTCTGGATTCTCTTTTCTGTTCCACTGATCTGTATATCTGTCCTTGGCCAGTACCATATTATCTTGATTATTGTGGCTTTATAGGAAATTTTGAAATTAGGTGGCATAAGTCCCATAGCATTGTTCTTTTTTTTTTTCCCAAATTGTTTTGGCTATTCTAACTCCTTTGCATTTCCATAAAAATTTTACAATCATCTTGTCAATTTCTATCCAAAAAAGCCTACTGGGATTTTGATAGGTATTATGTTGAATTCATACATCAATTTGGAGTTAATTGCCATCTGGACAATATTGATTCTTCCAATCTGTGAATGTGGGGATTTTCTCTTTGACTTTTAGTGGTTTGCCTATGATGTATCTAGATATGGATCTCTTTATATTGATTCTACTTGGGTTTTATCAAGCTTGTTGAATGAGTACACTGATGTTTTCAAGAAATTTGGGAAATATTATCCATTTTTTCTTCAAATTCTGCCCCTCTTCCCCATCCTTTTGAGACTCAAATCAGAATCTCCATCTTATGACTGTGGTCTTGTTATCTGGGTGGGAAATGGGAGCTTGCACCTCTTGACTGCACTGCCCAGACTTAGCCAACAAGTTACTCAGGACAGGATGGGAAATGCTGACATCCTGCCCCTCCTGGGAACACAACTGGGGGGAGAAGGGAGCCTTATGTTTTTGGCCACACAGGTCTAGAGTTGAATTTCCATTGTGCTGAATTGCGAGGGTGGTAGGAAGGGAGTGATTCTTAGTTCAAATACCATAGTCTGAATTTTAATAGATTGTCTTGAGTAAATGTTTCCTCATGTGTGTCCTTGGAACAATTTCTAGAGACTAACCTACGCAATTAGAAATAATTTCTCATAAACTTCCAATCAGTTTAATTGTTCATTATAAATTGTTTTAAAAACTTTCAAAAATTACATTAATGTATGAGAACAATGAAACAAATTTGATTTGCCCCATGTCCTACTCTCATTTCCTCAAAAAGAAAAAAGCCATTCTCTTTTTATTTTCACTCAACAGTTGCAAAAGATTTACCTATAGATTCACTGGAAGATGATTTTGAGAAGGAATTCTCATTTCTCAACAACCTCCTAAGTCCTGGTTCTTCAGGTACTGGTGAATTTACCCAAGAATGCCAGACCGCCTTTGGGAGCCCTGGCGCCAGCTTCATGTTGCGGGAGCCTGCTGTGGGGTCTCAGCCTCTTGCTCATTCCCCACGATTCCTTCCTTCACAGCTCTTTGACCTTGGCCTTCATGCTGCCGGAGCTTTTAACAGTAAGTGCCTATGAAACATGTAGACACTCATGACTTACTTTATCTTTGTGAAGCAAAACTATGTATATGTGGATGCAAAAATCAACAAGGATATTGATTTAACTTCAGTACTACTAGATGAAATCTGTGTCTCACCCATCAACTGAAAAAATAACAAATATTACCACTGGAGTATATCGACAGGCATGAAACAAGAGCTGCTGTCCTGCTCCCTCTGCCAAACCCCACACTTTGTACATTGACTTGCCCAGAAGTCTTCTCTACATAGAAAATCAGGGTCTTATTTTAAACTCTTGCCCTGCTAAGTTACCCCTGCATAGGGCAGGCAATACCGTTTCTTCCATCTAGCCAAGCTTGGTGTGTTCTCTTCCCATGGGTTCCGAGTAGACAAGGATAGTTCCACGGCAGCGTCCTGGGCAAGGCAGCAGGACTGGAGGATGGTGGTAGAAAGCTGGGCAGGGTGTTTTCCTAAGGGTCACCTGCTTTGTTTATATGTCAGGGACTCCCTCTACTGACCTACTGCCCCAACCAGCCTGTGTCCAACCCAGCACCTTCAGAGTTCTTTTGTTCCCCACTTCCACACTGGTTGCTAAGTACTGTCAATTCTATTTCTAAAACATGTCTCCAGTTTCACATTCCTCCTTTCTACCTCTATTACCAGAGGCATTTAGAGACTTATTTGGTTTCCTGGGCTGCTGCAGGAGTCCTCCTACCAGGCTGCCCAAATCCCAGGTCACCTTAGTGCTTCCCCCAGAGTTCTTTCTCCAAGAGGCAGATTCTGATGTCAGCACTCTGCTTTCAGTGACAAATATGCTTCACAGTGCTTGGGCCCCAAGACATTTGCCCACATGACTTTTTATCCTCCTTTATTCAACTCTTTTTTTTTTTTTAAGATTTTATTTATTTATTTGAGAGAGAGAGTGAGAGAGAGAAAGAGCACAAGAGGGGGGAGAGGGAGAAGCAGACTCCCTGCTGAGCAGGGAGCTTGATGCAGGACTGGATCCCAGGACTCCAGGATCATGACCTGAGCCGAAGGCAGTCGCTTAACCAACTGAGCCACCCAGGCGCCCCATATTCAACTCTTTATCTTTCCCTCATACTTCAGTTTCTGGCTCACTCATCATTTCCGGTTATATCTTTACAGTGTTTCATTTATTTGATAGCGACCTTATTTATGTCTATGCTCTTCCGTTAGGTTTTAAGAATCATGAAGGCAGAGAATGTCCTTTATTGCATGTCCTTATACACCTATGTGTAGCATAATATCTCACAGAATCATTGAGTTGCACAAAATGCATGATGCCCCTGAAGTTGTGCATTGTTGCAGGTGGAATTATTGACTTCACATGCAGAGGATTTAAAATAAATACTTTGGGAGGGGAAAAAAAAAAAAAGGATCATGGGCTCTAGGATAAAACTTGTGCCTGTATTTCCACTCTTATCTCTTAGCTTACTTCAAAATGCTTAGCATTTTCTGTAACTATATTGACTATTTTTAGATCCCTCTGAGACATCATTGCTTGTGTTGCTGCTTTTACTTATGATGTTCAGTAATGGAGCGTGGACTTGAGCCTGTGTGTTAGATTCCCGGTCCAGTGTTTTCTCCATGGCGGCCAACACTTGACTATTTCTTCAGTACTGCCCATTGCGTGGTTTCTCCCGCCTCTGGCCTCCCATAGTGCTCTGTTTTCATGGCTATAATCATAGTTCATCTTGCCTTCTGTCCCAGACAGGGGTCTTCCATCCCCTAGTAGATTTTATCCCTGAGAAAATGGCTCACAACACCTAACAGTATCTTAATGCATTGTACTTTGTATTAAAATACTTATGTTCATACTATATCTGCAAGACCATCATACTTTATCCAATCTGTAAGCACCTCAAGGGCACGATCTATGGGATGATTTATCTTTGTTCTTTCTGTGACAGCAGCATAAACTTAGCTCAAAAAATAAAATAAATAGCAGTTCAATAAGCACTCAGTAAGAATTTGTTAAATAGCCTAGAAGTAAGAATACAGTATTATTTGATAAAGAGGCACTCTATCTAGGATAATTCAGATGTTTTACTATAAAATTTTAGAAGACAATTACTCTCATATGCATTATCACTGGCCTAATAGTTACACAGACTTACAAACAGATTCATTCTCCATGTGAAATCCTACTGCTCTTTCTCCTTAACGTGCCACATCTCTAGCAGCACTGGATTCTTTTCTTCTTTCCTGGCAGTACATTATCAACAGTATTTCTTCACCACTCAGAGCATCTGTTCTGGTCCCCGCCTGCAGGCTGACAGATGTTCCCAGGCAATGGCTGAGGCAGTTGATACTTGTTTAATGAGTGTCTTGCTTAAGATCACCAGGCAGTCAACAATTAAGAGGGAACCAAAATCTGGTCTTCTGCCTCCTACTACAGGACTCTTCCTCCTTCACTCGCCTTCTTATTCCCCTGCAATGTAAACAGGAAAGTGAGCTGCCCTGAGTTAAAAGAGCTATGTTCTAGGAACCCTAAGTAAGAACTTGGGCTTCACATGATCTCTTCTGTACAAGGAAGGTGGAAGGCAGGACAATCTAAGTTCATTTCTAGTCCTGTATTTTAATTATAGCCTAAATAACTTCTCATGTTACGAGCAAACATTTCATGTCTTAGTGATAAGAGTATTACTAAGAGTATTCATAATGATACTTTTTAATGACCGCATAATATTTTGTCACGTTTATCTCCCATAATTCCTTCCTTACTGTTTCGAGTTTTTCATTTTATAGATAATGCTGCAATAAACATTATCATACATGTACTTTTTTTTCTTAAATTATTTCCTTAAGATAAATTTCTAGAAATAGGATTACTGAGTCCAGGGGTATAAACATACTTAAAGGTTTCAAGATTCTAATTGGCAGGTCTATTTCCTCTCTCCCAACTCCTTAGAAATTCTTTCTATACCTTATCTATTTGCAGTTGTTTGAAAAGAAAACTTATGTATTTATTTCAAAACCACTTTGAAAACTGTAAGGAAGTCTAATTCTAGCTGGAACTAAACTTAGATGATTTGACTAAAATATATAATTGCAGATACATTTTAAGTGTCTTCTATGTCTTACATTGTAGAATCTCACCCTGATAGAATTGAGGACTCATTAGTTATTTTTACCTTTTCTTATTTTTTCTGATGCTGCTTCCTACTTGACTAACAATGGATAATTCCTTCCCTCCCCCAGGCTGGGCCTTGCAAGGGGGATTAGAAGTTCCTCTTTCACACACTGATAACCAGCCAGTGCCTTCACAGAGTCCAAAGAAATTAACAAAGTGTAAGTTATTTATTTATATTCTTTGCCATTATATTAATCAGTTGAATGCAGATAAATTTAGAATAGGATCATTTTATAGTGTTTGCCTCATATTGTCCAGAAAAATATTTTGTTAATAATAAATTAAAATGAAAGTTATAGGGGCACCTGGGTGGCTCAGTTGGTTAAGCGTCCAACTCTTGATTTTGGCTCAGGTCGTGATCTCAGCATTGTGAGATCAAGCCCTACATCAGGCTCTGCTCTCAGTGGGGAGTCTGTGGGAGATTCTCTTCTCTCCTTCTGCCCCTCCCCCCACTTGTGTGAGTGCGCGCTTGTGTGCTCTCTCTCAAATAAATATATAAGGATGCATGGCTCAGTCAGTTAAGCGTCTGCCTTCGGCTCAGGTCATGATCCCAGGGTCCTGGGGTCCAGTTCCGCATCAGGCTCCTTGCTCAGCAGGGAGTCTGCTTCTCCCTCTGCCTGCTCTGCCTGCCGCTCCCCTGCTTGTGCTCTCTCTCTCTGACAAATAAATAAATAAAATTAAAAAAAAAAATTTAAAAATAAATAAAGTCTTTAACTAAATAAATAAAATGTAAGTTATACCTGGCTATCTCTCATCATGGAAAAATTAAATAGAACTTGTGAGCTTGTCATAGTCAACTAAATTGTGTACTTTAATTTTTTATATTTTCTGTTAAGGTTTGTTGGTAATGGATAATAACCATTAGGGATAGAAGGTATTCTTTGATTACAGGATGCCTGTTGACAAACAGTGCATTCAGGCACTTAGCAAAGGGCCTGGCACGTAGTGATTGCTAACATTGATTGAGTACTCACCATATTGTTATCTGTAGAACTGGTTCATGTTGTAATGGTAATGACAGAAACAAGCCATTTACACAGTTTCAAAATATTTTCCCACAAGATCTTACAAAGGGAAAAATATAATTTTATAGTGCAGTCAGCCGGGAGACACCATCTTAACCAACAGATCAAAGTTAACATCACAAGCAATGGAACATTCAGACATCATGTGCCTCCTGATATTAAGAAGGCACAACATCACTTCTGTTATGCTATTCCTGCCAAAATCCCTAACCTGAATCTAATTATGAAAAAACATCAGATAAACCCAACTCGAGGAATATTCTACAAAATTAATGGCCTCTATGCTATAGAGAAGTCAAGATGATCAAAGACAAAGATTTAGGAACTCTTCCAGATTAAAAGCAATTGAAGAGACATGATATTAAATGCAATGTGGGAATCTGGATTGCTTCCTGCATTAGGAAAGGAAGAAAAAGTTCTCTTTTGTTATAAAAAACACCGGGGTGCCTGGGTTGCTCAATTGGTTAAGCACCTGCCTTCGGCCCAGGCTCAGGTCATGATATAAAACCATCCCACATTTGTAAAATGCTGTAGAATTTTCATATACTCATCAGAACCTCTCCACATCTGCACCAAGAAGGTCAGGTATTGCTGGAATGACCACAGGAATGACATATCCTCGTTGACATCTGTTCTTCCAGTATAATTATTATTTTTTCAGTTACTTTTTAAAAAAAATTCTAGTATAGTCAACATCCAGTGTTACTAGTTTCAGGTGTACAATATAGTGGCTCAGCACTTCCATACAACATTCAGTGCTCATCATGATACGTGTGCTCTTAATCCCCTTCACCTATTTCACCCATCCCCCCTACATGCTCCCTCTGGTAACCACCAGTTCTCTATATTTAAGAGTCTGTTATTTTATCTTTCCCTTTTTTCCTTTGCTCGTTTGTTTTATTTCTTAAGTTCCACAGTGAGTAAAATTATATGGTATTTACCTTTCTCTGACTGACTTTACTTCACTTAGAATTATGCCCTCTATATCCATCAATGTTGTTGCAAATGGCAAGATTTCATTCTTTTTTTGTTTGTTTTAAAGATTTTATTTATTTGAGATAGAGCGAGAGAACATGAGCGGGGTGGGGGGGGGTGGGCAGAGGGAGAAGGAGAAACAGGCTCTCCACTGAGCAGGGGGCTCGATCCCAGGACCCTGGGATCATGACCTGAGCCAAAGGCAGATGCTTAACCAACTGAGCCACCCAGGCGCCCCAAGATTTCATTCTTCTTTATGGCCGACTGATAGTCCATTGTGTGTGTGTATATATATATATATATTGGACACTTGGGACTGTTTCCGCACTTTGGCTATTGCAGATAATGCTGCAGTAAACATAGGGGTGCATATATCTTTTCAGTTTAGTGTTTTCATACTCTTTGGGCTAGTAATATCTGGTAGTGGAATTACTGGATCATATGCTAATTCTATTTCTAATTGTTTGAGGAACCTCCACACTGTTTCCCACAGTGGCTGTAACAGTTTGCATTCCCACCCACAGTGTACAAGAGTTCCTTTTTCTCTACAGCCTCACCAACACTTGTTTCTTGTGTTTTTGATTTTAGCCAGGTGTGAGGTAATACCTCATTGTGGTTTTGATTTGCATTTCCCTGATGATGAGTGAGGTTGAGCATCTCTTCTTGTGTCTGTTGGCCATCTGGATGTCTTCTTTGGAGAAATGTCCATTCATGTCTTCTGACCATTTTTAATTAGATTCTTTGTTTTTTGGGTGTTGATTTGTGTAAGTTTTTTTATATATTCTGGATACGAACCCTTTATCAGATATGTCATTGACACATATCTTATCCCATTCAGTAGGCTTTTTGTTTTGTTGATTGTTTCCTTTGCTGTGCAGAAGATTTATTTTGATGTAGCCCCAATAGTTTATATTTGCTTTTGTTTCTCTTGCTTCAGGAGGCCTATCTAGAAAGAAGGTGCTATGACCAATGTCAGGGAAATTACTGCCTGTGCTCTCTTCTAGGATTTTTATTGCTTTAGGTCTCACATTTAGGTCACCAATCCATTTTGAGTTTATTTTTATGTATGGTATAAAAAAGTGGTCCAGTTTTCCCAACACTATTTGTTGAAGAGAATTTTTCCCATTGCATTTTTTGCCTCCTTTGTTATAATGGACCATATGATTGTGGGTTTATTTCTGGGTTCTGTATTCTGTTCCATTGATCTATGTGTTTATTGTGCCAGTACCATACTGGTTTTTTCTTCTTTTTTTTGTACCATACTGTTTTGATTACTAGCTTTGTAATATATCTTGAAATCTGGGATTGTGATACCTCCAGTTTTGTTCTTTTTCAAGATTGCTTTGGTTATTCAGGGTCTTTGGTGGTTCCATACAAATTTTAGCATTATTTGTTCAAAGTTCTGTGAAAAATGTTGTTGGTATTTTGATAGTGATCACATTAAATCTGTAGGTTGCTTTGGGTAGTATGGACATTTAACAGTATTTGGTCTCCCAGCCCATGAGCATGGGAGTATCATTTGTTTGTGTCATCTTCAGTTTCTTCTATCAGTGCTTTATAGTTTTCAGAGTACAGGTCTTTGACCTCCTTGGTTAAGTTTATTCCTGAGTATTTTACTATTTTTAGTGCAAATGTAAATGGGATTGTTTTCATTTCACTTTTTGCTGCTTCATTACTAGCTATAGAAATGCAACAAATTTCTGTACATTGATACTGTATCCTTGAACTTTACTGAATTTATCAGTTCTAGCAGTTTTTTTGGTGTAGAGTCTTTCAGATTTTCTATATATAGTACATGTCACCTGCAAATAGTGAAAATTTTACTTCTTCCTTAACAATTTGGATGCCTTTTATTTCTTTTTGTTGTCTGATTGCTCTGGCTAGGGCTTCTAGTACTGTGTTGAATAAAAGTGGTGAGAGTAGACATCCTTGTCTTGTTCCTGACCTTAGGGGAAAAGCTCTCAGTTTTTCCCCATTGAGTATGATGTTAGTTGTGGGTTTTGTATTTAAGGCCTTTATTATGTTGAGGTATGTTCCCTCTATCTAGACCTGCTTTATTGAGGGTTTTTATTCTGAATGGATGTTATACTTTGTCAAATGTTTTTTCTGCATCCATTGAAATGATAAGACTTTTATCCTTTCTCTTGTTGATGTATCTCGTTGATTGATTTGCAAATATTGACTCACCCTTGCATCCCAGGAATAAATCCCACTTGGTCATGGTGATTTTTTTTAAGATTTTATTTATTTATTTGAGAGAGAGAGAGCATGAGAGAGCATGAGAGGGGGGAGGGTCCGGAGGGTCAGAGGGAGAAGCAGACTCCCTGCCAAGCTTAACCAACTGAGCCACCCAGGCGCCCAGTGATTTTTTTTTTTAATGTATTGTTGGATTTGATTTGCTAGTATTCTGTTGAGGATTTTTGCATCTGTGTTCATCAGGGATAATGGCCTATAGTTGTCTCTTTTTGGTGATGTATTGGTTTTGGTATCAGGGTAATGCTGGCTTCATAGAATGAATTTAGAAGATTCCCTTCCTTTCGTATTTTTTGGAACAGTTTGAGATGAATAGGTATTAACTCTTTGCCAGTGAAGGCATCTGGTCCTGGACTTTTTGTTTGTTGGGATTTTTTTTTTTAATTACTGATTCAATTTCATCTCTAGGAATTGGTCTGTTCAAAATTTCCTATTTCTGGGTGCCTGGGTGGCTCAGTTGGTTAAGCGACTGCCTTCGGCTCAGGTCATGATCCCGGAGTCCCTGGATTGAGTCCCACATCGGGCTCCCTGCTCGGCAGGGAGTCTGCTTCTCCCTCTGACCCTCCCCCCTCTCATGTGCTCTCTCTCTTTCTCAAATAAATAAATAAAAAATCTTTAAAAAAAAAAATTTCCTATTTCTTCCTGATTCAGTTTTGGGAGATTATATGTTTCTACAAATTTATCCATTTCTTCTAGGTTGTCCAGTTTGTCGGCATATAATTTTTCATAATGTTCTCTTAGAATCCTTTCTGTGGTGTTTGTTATTCTCTTTCATTTCTGATTTTGAGTCCTTTGATAAGTCTGGCCAAAGGTTTATCAATTTTGTGATCTTTTCAAAGAACCAGCTCCTGGTTTGATTGACCTGTTTTATTGTTTTTTTGGATTCTGTTTTGTTAATTTCTAGTCTAATCTTCAGTATTTCCTTCTACTGACTTGGGGTATTGTTAGTTCATTTTCCAGCTCCTTTAGGTGTAAGGTTGTTTGAGATTTTTGCTTCTTCCAGCATCATTTTTAAAAAAAAAAGATTTTATTTATTTATTTTGAGAGAGAAAGCAAGTGAGCATGGTGGGGGGGTGGGGACGAGGCAGAAGGAGAAGAGGGAGAGAAGCAGACTCCCTGCTGAGCATGGAGCCTGATGCAGGGTTGGATCTCACAAGCCTGAGATCATGACCTGAGCCAAAATCAAGAGTCAGATGCTTACCCAACTGAACCACACAGGCACCCCCAGCATAATTATTAATAGGCCTCCTGTTCCCTCTCAGGTATCCTGGTTTAATGCTAAATGATTATTACTTTACAGATGAGGAAATAAGAGCCTGTGAGGTTAAATGATTTGCCCATTATTACTTATTAATAGGTAGTGTGCTGAGGACTCAAGGCCACAACTTGTGTGGGTATCACTAATCTGGGGCTCCCAGAAATAGAAGTGGACACACACAGAAGCCTTTCATTCTCCCTGCTCTTTAAGGCTTGGAATCCCCACAGTCCAAACTACAGCCCTCTGACCTGCAGAAAGTGGGAAACCATGTTTGTAAAAGAGGGTTGCCTTAGATTCTTCTGAGTATGACTGCCTTCCATTCTCTGCCCCTTGTGTCTCTCATATCATATCTAGGTCTTCAGATTGTCCCCTGGGTCTCAGTGCTGCTACTGGACCCCTCAACCCTCAAGAGCCTAGCCTTCTGAGATGACTCACTGTGCCATTGTGCATTCTTTTACTAGTTTCAGCCTTCAGCCTAAATGTATATCCTTGAAATCTCTGGCACAGTACAACCTGTAGACTATTGATACATGTGATTTTCCAGTCTCCACAGGGAGGTGAGAGGGAGTTGGTTAACAGGAACTTATATCTGAGACACAATCCACTCCATAAAATATATATAAAAAATTTGTAAAATGCACATGGAAAAGACAACTGTAAACTGAAATGAGAACTGTTGGGTATGTTAATGTGATAGAAGGATTTTCTTCCCCCATGTTTAATATTTTATAATAAATATAGATTTTTAAGCACCAAGTTTATAAATGTAATGTTCCTACTTTGTAGGAACAAAGGTTACTTTTACTTTTGAAACTTACCTGAGAGACTTCTATAAATTATCTGTGTTTCTAATACTATTACTGCCTGCCTGTTCACTTTTAATCATTTCTCAGAGCAACATAAAATTACTTACATAGAAGGGCCTCAGCAAAGCACAAGGTATCTACATTATTAGCTTTTCAAAATTATCAAGGAGGGGCACCTGGCTGGCTCAGTCGTTAAGCGTCTGCCTTCGGCTCCGGTCATGATCCCAGGACCCTGGGATCGAGCCCCGCATTGGGCTCCCTGCTCCACCGGGAGTCTGCTTCTCCTTCTCCCTGTGCCTGTCACTCCCCTGCCCTCACTTGTGCTCTCTCTTGCAAATAAATAAAATCTTATAAATAAATAAAAATAAAAGCTAGCATCCCAGGAGAACAAAGTAGAAGTATCTGTCATTTAAAAAAAAAAAAACAAATAGTACAGTAATGTGATTTTAAAAACCTGAGACTCTTCAATGTGTCTTTTCTTCTTTAATAGCTCTCAACAATGGTAACCAAGACATGTCAGCCTGGTTCAATCTATTTGCAGACTTGGATCCACTTTCAAACCCAGATGCTATTGGACACTCAGATGATGAACTACTTAATGCTTGACTGAAACTATGTCGTCACTTCAGTGGCCTTGAAACATCAATTTCACAACATATTGCCTTTGTGGAAAGGAGTTTATATTGTAACCCATACACAAAAGCATCGTGTTTGTGAATCTAACACTTTTCAGCCAACTTTAAAGAGATGGTAAGGACTACGTTTGAATAGATCAAGTATTTCTTTAATATCTTGGATTTGCAGCTGTTGATAATATGTGGAAAATACTATGAACCACTGAGTCGGAAATAGATACCAAAATTTATTTCAAAATAATAATTAGGAATACTTCTGTAAATAAGGAATTGGGCTTATTTCTTTGGAAAGCCTTTTATGTGTAAGTTGCCTTGCTGGCTTTGAGAATTCTGTATGTGGATAAAAACAGCATGTAAATTTGGATGTGATTTGGGGTTGGTTTTTAAATAAAACCATAGCAGGGGGAGTTTTCTGTTGTGGAAAATAACACTAGAACCAGAACAGTTTTGTCTTTAGTTAGAAAAGTAGAGTAAGATTTGAGAACTCAGTTTGCTTTAATGAAATCCCAGAGAAACTTGGTGCTTTTCTCCACTTGGAGGCTAAAATGTAATATTACTTAGTTTTTTTCCTTCACAGAAAATCATGGATACCCCTCAATTCCATTATTGAGTTTTCATGGGAAAATAGCAGGAGGATTCATTTGCTAAATCTATCCTCTGCAGAAGCTCATAAACCCATCTCCTAAACCACAAGAATGTCCAGTAATATTCAAGACATTGTACAGGTGTCTTTAGGCCTGGTTTTTCACACATTGTTACCATAATGTACAGTATTCATATTCTTTCTGAAAAGAAAGCAAGGGGAGGACAATCCCTAAGCACCTGGCAATAGTATTCCTGAAATTACCCAGAAACTTCTATCTGAATGAGGGAAAAATTCTAAGCTTATCCTTGTACATATTTGTACACTTATAACCTATTTCTTGACACGATTTAATCCAGATTACTTTTCTGGCAGTCATAGAAGACTCCGCATGATCAAACAGAAAGGGTCTTATTTTTCCACTTTTCCCTTTCTGTGGGTGACATCATCTAAGGCTCTACTTGATGACTGAGGAAAAATTGTTACCCTTACTGGAGGGAGGTTAGTGTAAGCCAGTGAACCCATAGCCACTGTATATACATATCACTCAATTTCCTGTTCTTTTTTCTTGACCATCCTTCAGATTTGAGGCAGTTCTCCAGGTGTCTTATTTTTGTCATCCAGTCCATTACATCTCCATAAGGGAACATTTTAACTGAGGTGTTCACAGCAGTTTCCATGTGCTCCCAGTTTTCAACAGGCTTATTTATTGTTTATAAGAGAATGGCTTGTAATGTCCGAGTCACTGTAAATAGAACATTTTTGGGGACTACACCAGAGTTGGGTAAAGTGCAGTCCACCTCCATGCACAGCACTCTGGCCTAGCTATAATTGGATCTGCCCCCGAGCCCTCCAGGAAATCACTGGTGGTGGGGCCGTACCACCTAGGCTGGCAAGACCTTATCTGAGGATCAGAAGCATTGACTCAGGAAAAGGTTATGTAGTCTTTTCATGCTTATTCCTATTTATTTCTTTATTTAGTTATCTTTTCAGTCAGAAGCATTTTTTACCTCTTCCTTTTTATTCAGTGAAATTCTCCAGAAGAGTCAATCACCAAGGATTGTGATTCGTAATTACAATCTAAATTCTGTACCTATGGTGACTCTGTGCTCTCAACTTTGAATACTTCAAAAATAATGCTAACTTTGTATCTTGAGTTTGTGCCATTTTTCTTTCATTAATTTTTTCACTAATACATTAGTTCACAAAATATTTCTATATCTCCTTCACATGCATGCAAAGTGGTCCCTGTTATCTCGAATAAACAAATAAATAAAACCTGAACACAGAGGAAAACCACTGATCTTTCCAAGCCAGAAGCCAGAATCCCAGACTATCAGTGTATTCACATTGCCCTCAATTTCCAAAGAACAAAAGTCCTCAAAAAAAAAAAAAAAAAAAAAGAAACACACAATAGATTATTATTATTCAGTTCTTAGATTCTCTTAACATTTCTTCTGAGTATGTAGTTGCCCATTTAATCCAAAAGCACATTGACTGTCTTAGCAAGTTGTTATAATTTCAACAAATCTAACAACTCCATTTTTGAAGAGCACATTGAAAACTTTGTTATTAAAATGAAGGTAACCATATTTTTTCAAGATTAATTATTCGAAGTTCAGTCATTTAGAGGCCAGAAACAGAAATCTGGCTATATTATAAAATAGATTGCTAATAGAGGAAACAAACCACTTATTCAGTAGGGAGTGAAGGAAAGACATGATAAACATAGAACAGAAAGGTGATCAGTTGCTATTTGTCTAAATCTAGATCAAACATTCAATAAGAAATAACCTTAACCAAAGGTAGGCTGAGAACTCTTTCAAAGTAAACGGATGTTTTTATATTAAATGGGGGAAAATAATATCTCCTACTTTTTATTACCAAATAAGAATGCATTTAACCTTAGAAAAGCCCAAGAACTAAAATTTGTCTAATCTTTCTTACGACCACTTTACAAGTGAGACAGGAATACCAGGGCATATTAAGATCAGACTGGTGTAACTTTGTATTTTTTGAAATCTTTCATTAATTGTAAAACATAGCTCTGATATGGTTAGAAATGAACTGTATTTTTAAAAAAAAAAATAGGTTTCTGTATTTGCACAATGAAATTCAGTGTTTGTATTTCAACTATGGATATTTACTTCACATAACTATAGACCATCTGGAAATGTAGAGGTCTTACAGCATAGGAACAAAGGAAGTTCGTGCTCTCTTTTTCTGAGCCTCTTTTAATAAAGATTACAAGATGCCATAAAACAAAAAAGTTGATTTCTTAAAGTACTCAATACAAATCCAATTATTGTTAACGTATTCAAAAATTTGGGTTTTACCTCAGGACCATAGTAGTAAAAGGTAGTCTGAATTGATCCAGATAACACAGAATGAAAATAAAACCAAGGCAATTAATATCTCTGTAAGACTGATTCTTTTTAACTTCATACAGAAGGGACGTCATATGGGAAATAACAATGTGTTCTTTGTGTAAATACACTAACAAAATACAAACCATCAAATATTAAAAATTTGAGCCTAGAAACAATAACCAATGAAATATAAGCATAGTATTTAACCTGATTTACTGAAGGCAGGAATAAAAAGAAGCCAGAATCAATCTAGTTTATATCTTCTGCCATAGTATTGGCAGGGCCCTGTGTTTTCTTACCTTGAGCAATGAAATAGCCCCAGAATCTTGGGATACTGAAATTAAACTAGGAAGGAAATACAAACTTAAATATTAATTCAGCAGTATTGAAAGTAATGCACATAAAACACATACAATGGTAAGGTGTTTAAATATGGCAATAAAAACCTACTGAACAGGATGGGTCACCTTAATATGCCAACCATAAAATATCTCCTCCTTTTTTATGTGCCATTTAAAGACACTAAAAAGTTGAATTAAAAACTGTCTTTGGCATTTAAAGTTGAAACATGGTTCTTCATTCAGTGGTATAAATAACCAATCAACATCCAAAGAGTAAAATACAAAAAAGGAGATCTGGGTGGTGGGTTTTTTTTTTTTTTTGAGAGCATGAGAGAGTGAGAGCACAAATGGGGGGGGGGCGGGCAGAGGGAGAAGCAGACTCCCCACCAAGCAGGGAGCCCGATGTGGGACTCAATCCTAGGACCCTGGGATCATGGCCTGAGCCAAAGGCAGATGCTTAACTGACTGAGGCACCCAGGAGCCCCTGGGTGGTTTTCATAGGTAAGATTTTGAAGTGCATGTTTTTACATTAAAGAAAAAAAGTTTCCTTTTTCCCATTTCAAAGTAATACTCTCTTGTTTAAGAAAAATCATCCACAACCCTACCACCCAAAATAACCACTATTAACATTATATATTGTTATTTTATAGTGCCTTTGGCCTCACATATAAATTAAATTGTGATTCAGGTGATTTTATTTTGTCTTCTGTCTGAAATGAGCATACCAAATTAAGATTAAAAAATTACTTTTGACCAGATCCATCTATATACTGCCTACAGAAGACTCATTTCAGACTAAAAGACACCTAATTTTGAAAGGGGATGGAGAAATATTTATCATGCAAATGAATGTCAAAGCTGGGGTAGTAGTATTTCTATCAAACATCTAGGCTTAATTTTTTTTGAGTTAGTTTATTTAAGTAATCTCTACACCCAACATGGGGCTCAAGCTCACGACCCCAAGGATCAAGAGTCACTTGCTCTTCCAACTGAGCCAGCCAGGCTCCCCCAGACAAACTAGACTTTAAAACAAAGACTGTAACAAGACCAAGAAGGACACTATGTAATAATAAAGGGGAAAATCCAACAAGAAGATAGAACAATGGTGGGGGCACCTGGGTGGCTCAGTCAGTTAAGCATCTGCCTTCGGCTCAGGTCATGATCCCAGGGTCCTGGGATTGAGCCCTGAGTTGGGCTCCCTGCTCTGTGGGGAGCCTGCTTCTCCCTCTGCCCCTGCCCCTGCTTGTGCACTCTCTCTTGGCTCTCAAATAAATAAAATCTTTAAAAAAAAAAAAGGATACAATTGTAAATATTTATGCACCCAACATGGGAGCACATAAATACATAAAACAGTTAATAACAAACATGAAGGAAATAACTGACAGTAATACAATAGCACTGATAGAATAGTAATACTTTAACACCCCACTCACATCGATGGACAGAGCATCTGAACAGAAAATCAACAAGGAAACAGTAGCTTTGAATGACACACTGGACCAGATGGATTTAACAGACATTCAGAACATTCCATACTAAACAGAAGAATACATTCTTTTCAAGTGCACATGGAACATTCTCCAGAAGAGATCACAAATAGGGCCACAAAACAAGTCTCAACAAATTCAAAAAAATTAAAGTCATACCATGCATCTTTTCTGACCACATGCTATGAAATCAACCAGAAATCAACCACAAGAAAAATATGGAAAGAGCACAAATACATGGAGATTAAATAACATGCTACTAAAACAATGAATGGGTCAACCAGGAAATCAGAGAAGAAATAAAAAATTACATGGAGGGCGCCTGGGTGGCTCAGTTGGTTAAGCGACTGCCTTCGGCTCAGGTCATGATCCTGGAGTCCCAGGATCGAGTCCCACATCAGGCTCCCTGCTCAGCAGGGAGTCTGCTTCTCCCTCTGACCCTCCTCCCTCTCCTGCTCTCTCTCTCTCATTCTCTCTGTCTCAAATAAATAAATAAAATCTTAAAAAAAAAAAAATTACATGGAAACAAATGAAAAGAACACAATGGTCCAAAATCTTTGGGATGCAGCAAAAGTGGCTCTAAAAGGGAAGTTAGAGCAATACAGGCCCTACCTCAAGAAGCAAGAAAAAAATCTCAAAATGACCTAACCTTACACTTAAAGGAGCTAGAAAAATAAGAATAAAACCCAAACCCAGCAAAAGCAAGGAAATAAAGATTAGAGGAGAAATAAATGATATAAAAACTAAAAAAACAGGGGCATCTGGGTGGCTCAGTTGGTTAACTGTCTGCCTTCGGCTCAGGTCATGATCCCAGGGTCAAGGATCGAGCCCTGCGTTGGGCTCCCTGCTCAGCAGGGAGTCTGCTTCTCCCTCTCCCTCTGCCTGCCACTCATCCTGCTTGTGCACACACACACACACACTCTCTCTCAAATAAATAAAATCTTAAAAAAAAAAACAAAACCTAAAAAAACAATAGAACAGATCAATGAAACCAGGAGCTATTTATTTGAAAAGATCACAAAATTGATAAACTCTAGGAGGACTCATGGAAATAGAAAGAGGACCCAAATAAAAAACACTAAGAGGAGAAATAATAACAAACACCAGAGAAATGCAAACAACTGTAACAGAATATTATGAAAACCTGTATGCCAACAAATTAGACAACCTAGAAGAAATGGATAATTCTAGAAAAATAAAGGTACAAATGTACCTCAACTCTATGGTCAACTAATCTTTGACAAAGCAGGAAAGTATATCCAATGGAAAAAAGTCTCTTCAACAAATGGTGTTGGGAAAATTGGACAGCACATGCAAAAGAATGAAACTGGACCACTTCCTTACACCACACACAAAAATAGACTCAAAATGGATGAAAGACCTAAATGTGAGACAGGAATCCATCAGAATCCTTGAGGAGAACACAGGCAGCAACCTCTTCGACCTCAGCCACAGCAACTTCTTTCTAGAAACATCGCCAAGGGAAGAGAAGCAAGGGCAAAAATGAACTATTGGGACTTCATCAAGATAAAAAGCTTCTGCACAGCAAAGGACACAGTCAACAAAACCAAAAGACAACAGACAGAATGGGAGAAGATATTTGCAAATGACATATCAGATAAAGGGCTAGTATCCAAAATCTATAAACAACTTATCAAACTCAACACCAATCAAGAAATGGGCAGAAGATATGAACAGACATTTCTGCAAAGAAGGCATCCAAATGGCCAATAGACACATGAAAAAGTGCTCAACATCACTCGGCATCAGGGAAATCCAAATCAAAACCTCAATGAGATACCACCTCACACCAGTCAGAATGGCTAAAATTAACAAGTCAGGAAACAACAGATGTAGGTGAGGATGCGGAGAAAGAAAGGGGAACCCTCCTACACTGTTGGTGGGAATGCAAGCTGGTGCAGCCACTCTGGAAAACAGTATGGAGGTTCCTCAAAAAGTTGAAAATAGAGCTGCCCTACGACCCAGCAATTGCACTACTGGGTGTTTACCCCAAAGATACAAATGTAGTGATCCAAAGGGGTACATGCACCCCAATGTTTATAGCAGCAATATCCAAAAGCCAAACTATGGAAAGAGCCTAAATGTCCATCAACAGATGAATGAATAAAGAAGATGTGGTTCATATATACAATGGAATATTACTCAGCTATCAAAAAGGATGAATACTTACCATTTGCTTCGATGTGGATGAAACTGGAGGGTATTATGCTGAGTGACATAGTCAATCAGAGAAAGACAATTATCATATGGTTTCACTCATATGTAGAATATAAGAAATGGTGCAGAGGATCATAGGGGAAGGGAGGGAAAACTGGGAAGAAATCAGAGAGGTAGACAAACTATGAGAGATTCTTAACTATAGGAAACAAACTGAGGGTTGCTGGAGGGGAGGTGAGTGGGGGGGATGGGGTGACTTGGTGATGGGCAATTAAGGAGGGCACATAATGTGATGAGCACTGGGTGTTATACGCAACTGATGAATTACTGAACTCTACATCTGAAACTAAGGATGCACTATATGTTGGCTAACTGAATTTAAATTAAAAAAAAAAAAACATCTAGAAACATATACTTACCAAACTAAAGCAGGAAGAAGTAGAAAATTTGAACAGACCAATTACTGATTGGTCAATGAAACTGAATCAGTAATTTGAAGTCTCCCAAAAAATAAAGGTCCAGGACGAGATACCTTCCCTGGCAAATTCTAACAAACATTTAAAGAAGAGTTAATACTTATTCTTCTCAAACTATTCCAAAAAATACAAGAGGAAGGAAAACTTCCAAATTCATTCTATGAGGACAGTATCACCCTGATACCAAAACTAGATAAAGACACCACAAAGAAGATAACTATGGGACAATATCACTCATGAATTATAGTTGCAAAAATGCTCAACCAAATAGTAGCAAATCAAATGCAACAATACATTAAAAAAATCATACACCACAATCAAGTGGGATTTCATTCTTGGGTTGCAAGGGTGTTTCAATATTTGCAAATCACTCAACAGGATACATCACATACACAAGAGAAAGAATAAAAATGATATAGTCATTTCAACAGATGCAGGAAAAAGCATTTGACAAAGTACAACATCCATTCATGACAAAAACCCTGAACAAAGTGTAGAGGGAACATACTTCAAA